AGATCCATCATATTCCAAGAGATAAGAGTTTTGCCTTCTGCCAGCTTCATTGGGGCCACCTGCATCTTGAGCAGTCTTCAAGTGCTGATAACTAACTGCCTAGCTAGCTTCAGAGAGCACTAAATCTTTTTGCCTGGAAAACTCTCTTCAGTTGGAGAAAATCAAGAACACCTTTCTTTTCATCTACAAATGCAATATTCAGTTCCATAGACTTGTTTCTGTTGATCACGTGCACGTAAGCATTCTGTTTGCCATCTTTGTCCAACCTCTTGCTCCTAAATGTATTCTGATATCATGAATCAAAAAGCTAAGGGAAGTGGTTTAAAATTACTTGTGGTAAAAATGAATAACTAGATTAATTGTGAGTCAACTTCAGCTTTTGGAAGGACTCAAACAGAAATTCAGAAATAATGGGCTGAATTTTCACAACCTCATTGCCCTTGTGTTTGAAATAGTTATTTGGTTTCCCCGCTTAGAAAACCATAATGATATAGTATCTGAGCACTTTGATTTTCCGGGGTGGGGCGGCTGGCTGGGGATTGAGTGGTACATGGACCACCATTCCGTAGGCTGGAAGTGTGTGAAATTCAATGAAATTGCAAACTGTCAATTCTTGGTGTGCTACGATAAAGATGAAAATTTCAAAGTACTTTAAATTAGAAAGTATAGTACAGAAAGAGTAGACATTGAAGGCATTTGCCAAAGTCTTTGTAGATATATTGTTTAAAGAAATTTAATATAAGTCAAGTGTTCTTTATATTTTATTTAAACATATGTATGAGCATGTAACAATGAGATGTACAAGACACTATGTTGAAAATGAACTTTACAATTTCAGGTGTGAGGGTGAGGGAGGAATTGGGGGGTGGGGAGAGAAGGGATGGTAGGGGAAAAACAAAGGAGGGGGTAACAATGCTTGATAGGAAATATACTCATTACCTTACTCATATAACTGTAACCCCTCTATACAGTATCTTTACAATAAAAATATATAAAAAGTATATATATATACACATATATGTATCATAAAATGTTATAGTTTGTTATATATGTGTGTATATCCATATACATCCACATTTGTGTGTATATAGATGTGTATGTATACACACACTTATAGTGTTTGTGCTGATGTGTGTGTGTGTGTGTGTGTGTGTGTGTGTGTGTGTGTGTGTATTTTGCTTTAATTTTTGACAGAATCTTGCTATAGAGCTCAGGATGGCTTTGAACTCTCAGTCATCCATAGTGCTGTGATTATAGGTGTATACTACCATAACTGCTTAAAATTATAGATGTTTTTCAAACTAACAAAAATTCTCTCACTAGTTTTGTTATCATAATCACTAGTAAAGATATTAGGTACAAAGCAAAAAATGAAGGCTTGATTAGAAATGGTAACTGTCTAGATTTAAACTTAGAAATGTGGAATGCTGGATATAATTTTATGTGAGAGGCTGAAAGATGGTGATTGTAGGAAATGGCTACTTTGTTACCATGAGGAGAGTGTTAGGTTTGGGCATTTCTATTAGATTTTTTTTACTGCCTGTGTATAGGATATATATGCACTAGAGCGGATTTCTCCCTCCCTCCTAAGCAGCATTCTAATGGAAATGTATGGCTGTGACATGACTATTGCCCATGAGAGTATTTGCCTTAAGATTTAAGCCTGCAGCTCAGAAAACTGCTATAAATACTCTAAAAATAATAACATTGTGAGTATTTCTATGTCATTTCCTTTCAGAATGTTTTTCATTTTTATTCTACTTATACTAGAACAAATGACTTGCAATCTGGGTAATTATGGTAAGTAGGAAAAGCCTCTCACATCAACAAGAAGTTCAAAATGATGTCATTACTGTTCATGGTATACTTGTTTTTGAGATATCTGGTTTTAATGTTTTAGAGTCATTTTATGTGTTTACGTGGTTTTTAACACTGACACTAAAATGGCCCCTAATTAATATATTCATACAAAATATAAAAACTGTGCACCAAGTGCCACAAATTCTCCTGATGTTCTATTTATTTATAGCAATGTGCATTGCTTAATGTGTGCGCTCATTTGAAAAGCATTTTTTAAAGTGTTTGCTAGTCACACTTTCTTTGCACACAACCAACCACAGTCTTCTACCTCCCTTCAGTAGGTGAGATCATCAAAGTTTACAAGTACTTCTCTACTTACGAACAGATTTAAGACATTTTGAAAATCATGAGTATTGCTCATAGATTATTTGGGCTGGGCCATATATAAATACAATTGGGACCTGGGTTTCTACAGTAAGTGTTGGAGGGGAAATGTTCTCAGAAGGCTAGTGTGGAGGCAGAACAGGGGAGGGGAAAGTGACTAAGCAGGGAGGCCCTTTCCATTTGTCCCCCCAGTGAAAATCTGGAGGATGATGTTACAGATTGCTCTCATCTGGAAGCAAATGAACTGATCTTCCACAGAGAGTCTGTCAGCCACTGGTTCTGATTGGCTCTGGGAAGAGGCTGGGAAGGTGGTCTCTTGTTTCCAATTGGCCCTGGGGTAATCTCCATGCAAAGGATGGACATCATGGAGTCATTAACAAGACTCACAGCATCTTGGTGATGGAGATTCCATGGCCTCAGCAGCCTCCACCATACAGATGAATGACAAAGTCAAAGGGGTAGGGAATGTGTTGGAGCCAGGTTCTGTCATTGCCCCCCTCCAGAGGGCACCCACATATATGCATCTTTGTAATTAAATGAAAGTGGAAATTCAAACTCTGTCCAATGCCTTTTTATTCAGAAGCATTTCAAAAACATTAGTGAGGACATGAACTTCTGTTACTTTTTCTTATTTGTTGCTCTATTTTTTTTTGTTAGTGTTGTCACTGTTGGTATTTGTTGTTGTGGTTCGCTGTTGCAGAATTTTATCTGAGTTAACCATTAAAATGTGTTCATGTGACTATGAATGAAAATGGGTTCATTAAGAAAGGACCTGAAATACTGTCCTTGAAACCTGAGGGTGTTTTCAAGTACACTCAGGCAAGCCTTTCTTCTGGCTTGATTTCCTACGTGTGTGTGTGTGTGTGTGTGTGTGTGTGTCTGTGTCTGTGTGTGTGTGTATGTGTGTCTGTGTGTGTGCCTGCCAGGCCTGGGGCTTGAAACTCAGAGCTTGGGTGCTGTCCCTGAGCTTTTTTGCTCAAGGGTGGCACTACTTCCATCTTTTTGGTGTCTAATTGGAGATAAGTGTCTGTCTCATGGAGTTTCCTGCCTGGTCTTGCTTTGAACTGTAGTTCTCAGATTGCAACTTCCTAAATGGGCGTGAGTCATTGGCCTCCTGCATTAATTTTCCTACTTGAAATGCCTTATTTGAAGAAGGCTTTTACTATATAAGCATATAAAATTATTTAGACAGAACCAAAACATTTGGTATGTTCAATGGATAAGGTAATTTTAATTTTTTTTTGTATTATGCTATCCTGAAGCACTATAGAGTATTCTTTTTCTTGGTAGATCACCTCCAACTCTCTTTTCTCTTCTTATGATGGTGAAGATGGAGAAGGTTTTCTTTTTTGAAAAATAATCTTTCTTTTCTTGCTAACTTACCAGTATAGTGAAGTACTTCACAGAAAAGAAAACCTTGTGTGGGAACAATGGAATCCTCATTAGTATCACTACTTTAAAGGGCATCTTATTTTGTTTTAAAATGTCAAGTATTTTTCAGGGGCACATTGACAAATGAAAACTTTTCTGTATTACACCATCAACTTTAACATGTCAGATCATTGACGTAGAGTAGAAATAAACAATGGCAAATCTCCATCTTAGCTCAAAGAAATGTTTGCTGCTAATAATATTTCCTCTGATTGCATTTGTATTTGATTATTCTAATTTATTAGACAGGAATAATAGTATGCAAATAAACTCAGAATATAAAGAGGCATTAATTCAGTTTAGAATTCTAGCTGTTAATTCACCCTTTTCACTTTGCATAAGACTTTGCTAATATTTTACATCTAATAGGAATCCTGCCAGTGCCCAGGTGATTTCTGAAAGGAACAAGATTTTGGAGCAAAACAAACATGTGATTTGAAGGGAAACTTGCAGGGATCCAGCTTACAAATGACTTACTTAATGATCTGAAATATAGCACTATTGGCTATCTGTTTCACCCTAATATAAAGTATTACCCAAAGGAAGCATGAGGTTAAGAGGATAAAGTAAAAGATTATGTTAGACTTTCCTTTGGGCTCAATCTTAATAAATGTCTCCCTCAGTCTATCTTTATTTTTCTGTAATAGTTGATCTAATTCTCTATATTTATATTTTTTCCCACTGTGGATATAAGAACTTTTTGCAAAAGAAGAAAAAGTCTTCTTCATCTGTGTGGATAAGAATTTATTTTTATATCTGTTTTTTTCCTTTAGTTATTATTTTAAAATATTGCCATAGCTGAGATACAATAAATATTTTAAAAAATACTATGTCTGAGCTAGGAACCAGTGGCTCATGCCTGTAATCCTAGTTACTCAGGAAGCTGAAATCTGAAGATCATGGTTCAAAGCCAGTCCAGGCAGGGAAATCCGTGAAACTCTTGTCTCTAATAAACTACCCATACAGTGCTGGAAGTGGTGCTGTAGCTCAAGTAGTAGAGTGCTAGACTAAAGCACAGAGAGGCTCAGGCCCAGAGCCCAGGCCCTGAGTTCAAACCCCCAGACTGGCAAAAAAAATCTCATCAAATTCTTCAAACTATGCTTTTATTTGGTAATACCAAATGAAGAATCCATTGTATAAGAATTCAGAAACATTTCTGTCACTATCAATGATTTTTGCTAACTTAAAAAAAGTCTCTTAGCCACATGTGGTGACACCTGCCAGTAATCCCAGCTACCACGGAGAACGAGGCTAGAGGAATTGGAGACCAAGCTGGATAACATAGTGCACAAACTTACTTTGTTTTATGTAATTATTATCACTTGCTAATGGCTTGAACAATTGAGATTCCTGCATGTTGTAACATTTTTTTTTGTTGCTTCTAGAAACTTTCAACTAAGTAAAGAAGATCACTGGGTTTACCAGATTGTATTAGGTCAATATTCTGGGGAAGTCTTTGGTAGAAGGACTCTGTATCTGGACATGTTACAGAGATATTTTCCTCACAAATCTAGGCACGATTTGGTAAGTACCGATCCTTCCTACATATTGGTAAGTTGAATTGCTCTAGTGTTTATAATGGTTTAGTTGTGTGTGTGTGTGTGTGTGTGTGTGTGTGTGTGTGTGTGTGAGAGCATGTGCAGAAGTGTGTTTTTGATTTTGTATGTTACAGAAAATAATAGATTAGAGGTTAAAGGCTCTGTATGTCCTTTTTTCAGGTCTTTATTTCTGAAAGAGGTAGGGGACAGTTGCAGCCACACTCATTCTCTCTTTCCTCTCTTACCACAGAGATCTTCACCATGGTTCCTCTGCTGGTGTCTCAGTGTCAGGTGCCCACATAGTTATCTGCCTACCCTCATCAGTTCTGCCATATTTGTGTCTTGCCTGAAAGTGGAATGTTGTGATACTTCAGTCTCTCTAGGCATTGAGAAACCAAAACTTGTCCTAGGGAATGGCCCTTACACATACCCTCCCCATCACCTGATGGCCTGGCTCCACTACATGGGTCCAACACTCAAATGCAGAGCCCAGAACACAACTAAATGTTTATCCTGTGGTAGGTAAGACCACAAAGAAAAGAAAACAGAAGATACCACATCACCACTTAATTTTGCAATAACTCACTTATATGTGGAAAACAAATAGGTGAACTCTTGACATTTAAACGAACTGTGCTACAAAATATTCTCACATTCTCTGCACTTTTGTAATTATTTCAAATTAACCAAGTAGAATTTCCTTTAACACATATAATGGCAAATGAACATCATACCACTGTTCTTATTTTTGGGTACAGAAATGGAAACAAAAAGCACACAGCTAGTCACCATCCTTCCCAAACTTCCTACCATAATTTTTTTCCCTTTTATTTGAGTGCCAGTCTTGGGGCTTGTGAACATAGGGACTGAGTGCTGTCCCTCAAGGTTAGTCTCTATCACTTTAGCCGAGTTTCACTTCCAGCTTTTTGGTGGTTAACGGGAGATAAGAGTCTCATGAACTTTCCTGCTCCAGATGGCTTTGAACCATGATCCTTAGATCTCAGCCTCCTGCAGTGTGAGCCATGAATGACTAGCTGGATTATTTGTTTTAATTCTGGTTTTTAACTGAAATCTGTTATGCAATGAACAATTTGCAATCAGCATCACTTTTATAAATTTCTTTTTGTTTTTCTACTATTGACATGATAAACATTTTTTTTTTGGGATTATAAAACCAGTTTCTTTTTTTATTGTGAAAAAACTGTACAGAGGGGTTACAATTACATGGGCAAGATAATGAGTACATTTCTTATCAAGCATTGTAGCCTCCTCCTTTGTTTCCCCTTCCCATCTCTTCCAAACCTCCCCCTCCCCACCCAATCCTCTCCCCATCCCCCCACCAAAGTTGTAAAGTTTGTTTTCGACATGACAACTTGTACTTCTCATTGTTGCAACGGGTCCACCAGTATCCTTATTTAAATGACTTGTAAAACCAGTTTCTTATGTTATTAGCTACCTGCTTAATAATATGCTTTCTAAGAAGTGGATTTGGAGATATGGCTATAGTCTGGAAAATTATTGACATCAGGGAAAAAATTAGGAGGGATACATAATTTAGATTCAGACTTAACATCTTATAGGTAGTATGTAAGAGAATTAGAATAGATGACTAGCTTAGAAACATACTCAGCTAAAAAGATGACCTACTAAAGAATGGCAGAGACATTTATACATATAATTTATAGACTAAGGAAAAAGTAGCTGAGTAGTGGCTCATCCTTGTAATCCTAGTTACTCAGGAGGTAGAGATCTCAGGATTGTAGTTTGAAGCCAGTCTGGGCAGGAAAGTCTATGAGACTGTTTGTATCCAAGTAACTACCAAAAGGCCAGAAGTAAAACTATATTTCAGGTGGTAGGGCAGTAATCTTGAGTGACAAAAGCTAAGGAACAGTGTCCAAGTCCTAAATTCATCCATCAGTAATGATAAACATTTTTACATTGACTTTCTATGTTCAACTGATAGTATCTGTTTCTTTATGGTATATGCCTCCTTTCTTAATGTTTTAAGGATGCTTTTGAGTTTATGGAGCAAAGCTAAGAAGTTTACAGGACAGATTTTACTAGCTGGTTTAATTGAGACCACATTCTATTTCTTTCTATATCTGATTAACCAGACCTAAAATGCTCTTTTTAAATAGGGCATACTTACCTTGCTAAATTCTTTTCTTCCTTCAACAAGTGGGATCAGTACAAGAAAAATAATAACTAAGATCAGCAACTTTCAACCTCAGAAGACATACCTTTGAATGAAGAGATTTTTGGAATCTCTCCTTAGGCTCCTGGTCCTGTTCTTCCTTCCAAACCTTGTGCTTCCTATGGTTGAGATTCATGGAGGAGAAATTCCTGCTATCAGCACAAAATCCCATGTTCGTCGAGTGAGGAGGTGACATCATTGTCATAAATGGAGTTTAGGCATCTTAACCTCTAAGAAGATTAGTCATGAAGGACCAATCCTGAGGGTTTTCTCATTTTTGTAGCCATTTTATATTGATTAGCACACCAACTAACTGAAACACTGATGGAAGTGTTAAAAGACTGTATTAAAATTATATATAGATGGCAATATTGCTTTCTGCTTAGCAAATCACTGCTATCTAAAAGTGATTCCATCATATACAAGGAAAATAAGGATTTATAACATTAAATGACTTGACCATGGCAGCTATTTAATCAGTAGGGCATAAGTTAAGCTTGTCCCCCAATTTTTCAAAATCACTAGTTATAATTACTTTTATTCATTTTCATAACCATGACATGAGCTACAGGTCCACTTTCATAGCGATGAATGATGATCATTTATTATCTTTTCAGGTAGAACATGAGAAATATTGTGTCCAATATCACTTTGCTAAGGAGCAGCGAAAGATGCTGATAAAAAATTGGAGTAAGAACAGGAAAGACTTTACACAGAAGGCAGTGTTGACGCTCCTTGAGGCCTGTGTAGCTCATGAACTGGAGAGCATGTTGGCCAAGGACAGGAGAAAGCAACAAGAATTGTGTGCTCATCTGAAAGCCAAGGTAAAGTTATTTTGGAATTTGTGTGGATTTCATTTCAGAACCTGTTTTTCTTTTTCCTTAAATTTAAACCTACCATTCTGTTTCACTGTAAAGCCTATTTTGAATGAAATCATTGGTTTGAGCCATAAGAAAGTACAATTCTTTCAGGTAAAATACAGTCAGCAATCATTAGTTTTATAATGTTCAACCTAAAGTTATAGGATATTAATGTTGAAAATTTTATGGGTATATCTACTATCAACCATAGATGCTATACACTAGGATGAAGTGCTAAATGGAAATACAGGGTATGATTGTAAAGGAACTGAATAATGCTGGACTTTTCATTTATGTCAAAGATATTTTTAAGAAGTTGAATTATGGTTGGGTAGTGGTGGTGTACATTTGTAATCCTAGCTCCTTGGAAGACTCTGATTGAGAATATCTTGTTACAAGACCAGATTGGGCAGAAAAGTTCATGAGGCTTCTCTACAATCAAGAACTGGGTGCAGAGGCATGCACCTGTCACCTGAGCTAAGACAGGAAGCCTGAGAGAGGTGGATAGTGCCCAGGTATGCTCCTGGATAGAATGTAGGACTCTATCTCAAAACAACCAGCTCAACAAAGGGTGAAGCCAAGATAAGAAGAAGAGAAAGGGCACTTGTCAGAAAATATATTGAGGCAAGCTTTGCTGGGCTATGAATAACTCTCCACAAAGTGTGGGGCAAGAAATTGGGTTATCCTCCTGTAGTTGGCCCAATTGAGGGCTGAAGTCTGTTGCCTCAGTGGCAGAACTGAAAGGAGTATCTGCTGTGTTGGAATAACTACCATCTCCCTGCCAGTCTTGGTATGTGAGGCCTGATGCAGATACACTACTGCCCCCCCCCCCCCCCGAGTATTGGCAGGGGCCAGAAAAAGAAATTATACTCAGGTACAAACCCAAGTTTAGGTTTTTTGATATATGATAGAGTAAGAGGATGATGGCACACCAAGAAATTTTATTTGCTTAATAGAAATAGAAACCTGGAAGACATTATGCTATAGCAATGAATAGGTATATAAAAACAAATGTTCCTGTTTTATAACATTAGAGGAAAGTGCTTGCTCTGCATTATTTTTAATAAACCAGAAAGATATTTCTTTTCACACTGCATTAGTTTAGGTCTGAAAAGGAATAGAATTAGGGTTGGTTCACAACAGATTACAGAGCTTATGTATGTTCCTTCCCCACTGTAGGCTGATAGGAAATGTACAGGATTAGGGACCAGGACAAGTCCTTCTCCTCCTGCACACTATTATTAGCCCTTGGGCTGTGGTATAAGCGATGTTTACTTCGTATTGCATTGTATGAGGTAAACATACATGCAACAAAATGCACAGTACTTAAGTATACTATTGGATGGAGTTTGCTTACATATACACCCAGGTTCACACCATTGAGATTACAATGTAGAAGGCAGAAGCTCAGAAGGCTCCCTCATGGCTCTTCTCAGGAAATACTACTCCATTTGTTATTGCTATTCTGACTATAGATGGTTTTTGTCTAGTCCAGAACTTCATGTGAATATAATCACACATTAGATTCCTTCCTTCCTTCTTTTACATTACCCTCATTTGATCTTTATTTTAAAATCATTGTGTTGTATTTCACAGTGTGCATATACTACAATTTCTTTATATGTTTCCCTGTTCATAAAAATGTCCTTTCTTTTTTTTATTGTGAAAAAACCACACAGAGGGGTTATAATTACATGGGCAAGGTAATGAGTACATTTCTTATCAAGTATTGTTGCCTCCTCCTTTGTTTCCCCTTCCCATCCCTTCCCATCTCCAACCGCCCACCACGCCCCACGCTGAAGTTGTAAAGTTTGTTTTTCAACATAACGTCTTGCTTGTACATTTCATTGTTGCAATGGGTGCATCTTTATCCCTACTTAAACAATTGTTTTTTCCCTTCCCCTCCACAAATTATATCCACATCAAATACAGTGAAAACAGGGGTTATACCGTGGGGGAGGGATATACAAAGCAACAAAGAAATATCTTATAAATATGTTAGAAACTATAGCAAGAAAGAAAAAAAATTTGAGACCTTTATATCTTGGGGTTCATTTTGCCTAACTTTTTTTCCATTATGATTATGATACTATTGGTATTCTTGAACATATCTTTTGGTGAACACAGTTGCTAATTTCTGTTGTATATTTAGCTTTAATAAATATTGCCAAAATAGTTTTCAAAAGCGATTCTATATATTTGCAACTTATTTGCTTCACATCTTTATCAGCAGTGATATCACCAGTCTTTAGTTATGTGGGGTAACTGAATTTGGTATCTAATTATGTCTTAGGAAAAAGACTTTGAGCATCTTTTCATATTCTTACCACTTAGTTGGTGGTTCTCTTTTGTAGAATATCCACCCAAATCTGTTGCCCATTTTTTCCTTCAGTTGTCTCCATAATCTTATTATTCATATGTTCTCTATATATTCTGAGGACACGTTGTATTTATTTCTTTTTATCTTCTTTGTTTCCTTGTTGGTCGTGGAACTTGAACTCTGGGCCTGAGCGCTATCCCTAAGCTCTTCAGCTCAAAGCAAGCACTATATCACTTGAACCACAGTGCCACATCCCCTTTTTAATTTTTCTTCGTTAATGCTTTGTATTTTCATATGCTGAGTGATGTTTCTGCCTTGTGTTTTGGAGGCACTGGGGTTTGAATTCAGGCCTTGAACTTGCTAGCCTAGCATTCTATCATTTGAGCCACAGCCTTAGTCTTTATTGGTATTTGTGGATGAATAAAACTTATTTCTATTTAACATGCTGATTTTTATTTTATGTGCTTTTGAGATCTAAATAACGCACAGTAAAATCGACAGTTTAAAAAAGTAAGTTCTGTGAATATTAACAAATTTGTGATATAAAACTACCACCACAGTCAAGACATAAAATGGTTTTATCATCCTCAAAAATGCGGCAAACTTCTAGGTAAGCAATCCCATACCCACCTCTAGCCTTGGACAACCACTGATCTGTTCTCTGTCTCTCTAGTTTTGCCTGTTTTAGAATGGTCATATAAACATAGACACATAGAGTAGAATGAGATTTTCTTCACTTAGTATGCTGTGTTTGAGGTTAAGCCAGGTCATTTGTTACCAATGGTTTCTGCTAGAAACAACAATTGTTGTTTCTATTACTGTTGTAGTATTATAAAATATGGAGCTGTCATAGTTTAGCTGTGCTCATGATTTTGCAACGTGTGTTGCTTTGTGAGAAGTGGCTTCAGGTTTCTCTGTGAGCCTGTGTCTCTGAGAACATCTCTGCCTAACTTTTGTTCCCTCTGCTGTGTTATACAGTAGACACTAGGTAGTTATACAAAGAGGTTTTCTGCTTTCCTGCTGTATCTCTGTTCTCAGGCTTATCTACTGGGTCCGGGCCTATTCAACTATCCTGCTTGTTTCTCCTGCCTTTGGTGGTTCTTGTAAAGGTGACATTTTCCTGCTCCACCTGAGGAAAAGAGATTTTTCTTGTCCTTTCCTTTAGCTACAGTGCCCTGAGTGCTTGCTCCTCTTCCTTGAGTCTATAGCCATTTGATCTTCAAGGTTTGTTTCAGCTTGCCAAGACCTGCACCACCTTTGGAGGCCCTTCTGCTACCCTACCCTGGCCCCTATCTTGCTTCTGAGTACCCTGTAAGATAGGTGGAGGAAAGCTGTGAATGGGTACAAATTCCCCAGTGTCTGTAGCTTATACAGCTCCTATTTTCTTTTTCTTTTCTTTCTTTCTTTTTGTTGGTTATGGGGCTTGAACTCTGGGCCTGGGACCCTCAGCTCTTCAGCTCAATGTGAGTGCTCTACCACTTGAGCCACAGCACCACGTCTGGTTTTCTGCTGGTTTATTGGAGATAAACGTCTCACAGCCTTCCCTGGCCTGGCTCACTTTGAACTGTGATCCTCAAATCTCAGCCTCCTGAGTAGCTAGGATTACAGGCATGAGCCACCAGCGCCGGGCTACAGCTTCTATTTTCTCATGCTCTCTAAATCATTGAATTTATGAGCTCATTAAAATTTTAGCTCCAGTCTTCCTGCTCACTCCTGTGGTGAGCTTATCTCCACTAGGTGCTTTGCTGCAGAAAAGCCACTTCCCACATTGCATCTCCCCTTGGAGGAGTTAGTCCTTGACTAAATTTCAGGCTGATTTATTGGTTTGTGAGCTCTACCCTCTGAGGTGTTCAAAAAAAGTCCTGATGTAAGCAGTTCAGCTTTTTAAATTTTTCTGTATAAATGGAAGTAAGGATTCTTTCCAACTCTCTATACTTGAATGGAAGCTAGAAGATTCTAATGAAGTACTTTTCATCGGTTTTTATGTTTTCAAAACATTTTATTTATTTTTAGATTTTTAAAAAATTATCTTTAAGTAGTTGTACAAAGAAATTGCCATTCAAGAAAGCAGTTGCTGTTCATCACTTTTTAATGTGTCCTATTTAAGAAACTGTTGCCTAGAGGCAAGGGATCATTGTGAAGAACATCCTGCCCAGGGTATTTTCTGCTCAACAGTGCTTCCAACAGGCATGAATGGGACAACTCTAAGTCACAACCTGATCTGTGGAAGAGAAGTGATTAGTTAAAGGTAAACTGTATACACCACGTTAAGGGGGCATTTGTCTAAAAAGAGCCCTCAAGATATCAAGGCAACAGACTTGCTAGGAGAGGGCCACAAGTCAGCACTAACTACTGATAGGTTTTCTTGGAGCAATGCCAGTCACTGGTCAGTGAGATCTTTGCTGTTCTCTTTACCTTGCCTTCCTTCGAGGGTCTAAGCATCTACGAATAAGAAGGCAAACCATAATCTGAACACAGAGGAAAGAAATATTAATCTACTGCAGTGGATGCTGATTTTGTGAATTGTTTTTTGGTAGAGCTGGGGATTGAATTTGGGGCCTCATGTTTGCAAAGCAAGTGGTGTATCACTCAAGCCTCACTTGTAGCTCTTTTTACTCTTAGGCCTTGTTTATTATGCTCAGGG